AAGAGGAGCAAACGGGACATGAGCCTTTGCAGGAAGCAACTTTGTTCGTTCTGGTTGGTTTAAACTCTGAAGCTCCGTTTTAACTCTGTGCTCCGTGTGGCCTTGCATCGCTAATTGCCAATTAGGTCTTTGGCAGCGTTTCAAGAGAGATAAAGGTGGGTGCTTATCAGCCTTATCCCGAAAGACTTTGGCAGACTTCTCTCGGACTCTTTACAAACTATTTGTGACTCATTACGGGCTGTGAATGAACATAATTCATAGCCTTTGAAATAAAAAAGGGGGGGTTTGGGACTAAGTGTGCTTTTTACTGTACTGCAGAACATTGCCCATTGTCTCCGCTGGTGGGGGCAGCTGGTAGTTGTAGCTGCCACTCATCCTTCTTTCTGCAGGTGCCCCGTGGGCTACTCTGGCCTCTCCTGTGAGCAGTGCGAGCCTCACTTCAAGAGAGTCTCCGGCGGCCCCTACTTGGGCATCTGTTCCGGCTGCAGCTGCCATGGTCACTCCACCTCCTGCGACCCCTTCTCGGGATACTGCCTGGTGAGCGGCTCAGCGGCAGGACTTGGGGAGGGGCAGGGTGGGCCCTAAAATTTGGGGGTGCTCCAAAACAAGCTTTAGACTTAGGGTGTGCCGACTGGAGAACCTAGGGCAGCGATGGCTAACCTTTTTGTTGTCATGAGCCGAAAGCTCGTGTGCACCCGCTCCTGCACCCATAATGCAATCTGCATGTGACACACTCACACCCCGTGTGCCCCAGGTTGGTGCAGGAGGTCCCCAGCACCCTTTATTGGGCCTGGAAGGCCTCCTACACCAACCTGGAAGCCAAAACAGGGCACGGGAGGGGCGTGCAAGATTCCAAAATGCAATGCAAGTGCCCTCCCATGCATACGCGGTAGAGACCCGAAGACCAGTTGGCTGGCGGGAGGTGTACGCGCATGCGCGGTGGAGCTGGGCTGGGACGATGGCTGGGACGCCTGCATCACGGACCTAGGGGAATGGCTGGGAAACGTTTCAAGCAGCAAAGCCTGTCCTACAAGCGCCCATGGTGGCAGAGTGGTTAGAATGTGGTATTGCAGACTAATTCTGCCGACTGCCAGCAGTTCGATTTTCACCGGCTCAAGCCTTCCTTCCTTCCGAGGTCGGAAAATTAAGAACCCAGATTGTTGGGGGTAAGATGCTGACTTTGTAAACCACTTAGAGTGCTGTAAACAGTAGTGTTAATCAAATCATTTAACAACAGGTTCTGTGGGCGTGGCTAGGTGAGCATGGCTAGCCTCGTGGTACCACGCAGGTGGGATTAATTGCTTCGGCGGGCCATAGTTTGAGGATCCCTGCTCTAAGGCACCAGCCAAGGTGTGAGGGTAATACGTAGTGACTGGGCAAGGCAGGGCGGGGCCAGCCAGCAATTTAACAACCGGTTTGGCTGAAGTGGTGCGAACCAGTTGAATACCACCATTGACTGTAAAGCATTGTGAAGCGGCATATAAGTGCCCTTGCTAAGTGGTGGCGTTGCATTGTTTGGTGCGCGAGGCAAAACAAATTAAGATTTGCAAAACTGGGACACAGATAGCCACCCGAAATCCTCTGTCATTTCCCACCCCTCTTCCCAGCACACTTCCCCTTCTCTTCGCCTGCCACCCCCCCAAAATGCATTTATACGGAATCTGGGCATCTCCAGGGCATGAAACTTTGACGAGGTCCCAGATCCAAAAGGCGATGGTTCTTGGACCAGAGCAGAGTTCTAGGCTCTCATGGCCCCTCCTCCTCTCTCTTCCTTCAGAACTGCCAGCACAACACGGAAGGGCCACGATGTGACAAATGCAAGCTGGGCTTCTTTGGTGATGCCACCCAGGCCACCCCAGAGGCGTGCCGGCCTTGCCCATGCCCGTATACCGAAGCTCCGCGCAGGTGAGGGAGGGGCGGGGTTGTCTAGGGGGTGGAGTGTTTGGGGCAGCTTCAGCGTACATCTCTGGCCAGATTTCTGTATTGCACCACGATGGTGCAGTGGTTAGAATGCAGTACTGCAGGGTACTTCTGCTGGTTGTCGGCTGCCTGCAATTTGGCAGTTCGAATCTCACCAGGCTCAAGGTTGACTCAGCCTTCCATCCTTCCGAGGTGAGTAAAATGAAGACCCAGATTGTTGGGGGCGAGAGGCTGACTCTGAAAACTGCTTAGAGGGGGCTGTAAAGCGCTGTGAAGCGGTATATAGTCTAAAGGCTATTGCTATCTTCCTTCCCTCCTTCCCAGTGGTTAGAATGTGGTATTGCAGGCTAACTCTGCCCAATGCCAACAGTTCGATCCTGACTGGCTGCAGGTTGACTGAGCCTTCCATCCTTTAGAGGCTCACTCTGTAAACTGCTTAGAGAGGGCTTTAAAAGCACTGTGAAGCGGTATATA